TCCTCCCCCGCCTTCTCATCTGCTCCCTTCTGCTCCTCATCATCCTCCTGCCCCCCCCTCCCCTCCCTCCCCTCATCCGCCCCCGTGCTCCCTGCTCCGTCGTCGGCTCCGCGCCGCCGACGAGGGCGCCTCCCGAAGCGCCAGCTCGCAAAGTTCGGCCCGCGGCGGACGGGGGCGGGGGGGCGGACGGGGCGGTGCGCGACTCCGGGCGGGAAGGGCAGCGAGGGAGGTCCGCCCGGGCAGGTCCGAGCGGCGCGGCCGCGCGCGGGCATCCCACACGGAAGGCCCAGGCGACGGCCCGCGGGGGGGGGGGGGCGCACGGCACCGACTGCGAGGAGGAGGGGGAGGGGGAGGGGGAAGGAGGAGGGAGGGGGGAGGAGGAGGGAGGTGGGCTAGGGGACCAGGGGTACGCGAGGGGGGGGAGGGGAGGGGGGAGGGCAAGCTAGGTGCGCTCGCGTCATACCTGACGTCCTACCCCTCCCTCCCATCCCTTACCATGGCGTAGATATCCTCTCTATACGCACAGTCGGACGTCGAGCAGGGCAATGATAGCGAGAGGGTACGCGATGCATGGTACAGCATGGCACGGCATGGCGTAGAAGAGCACGGCAGAGCGTAGCATGCCACAGCATGGCGTGGTATTGCGCAGTGAAGCATTGCATCACAAAGCATTGCAACGCAAAGCATGGCATCGCACAGCCGCGCAGAACACAACACCGCACCGCATGTCATGGCATGGCGCCAGGTTCTTTGGAGGGTAAGTGGGTCGTCTTCGAGAGGTCTGGGCCAGTCTGGAGTCGTGGCTCCATGCGTAACTCCTTGGGCTCCCCGAAAAGCTCCAGACTAAGCGGGGCTGATGGAGATCACCCGCTGGCTCTGCTTTCAGCATCGCCATCCCGAAGCAGAAACAGGGCTCCCGCTTGATACTTCCTGAAAACGACGACGCCCCCTGAGTGAGGGGGGCTTCCGCGGCCCAAGAATCAACGAATCGACACCGAATGTGTAATCACTTCTGATGTTTTTGTTCGGATGGCCATTTTCTAAATGTTGCGGCCTGTTTGGAAGGAAGGCCAGCGCTGGAGCGGAAGCACGATTCGGAAGGAGCGGAAGTGCGAAAATGAGGCCAGCGATGCAGCAGGAGCACGATTCAGAACGAGCGGAAGCTCGAAAATGAGGCCAGCGCTTCAGCGGGAGCAACATTTTGAAAAAAAAAAAAAAAAAAAAAAAAAAAAAAAAACGAGCGAAAACCTAATTCCCGGGAATCCTGTGTACAAAATCAGTACGCGGCGGGGGGCCGGATATCTTCCGGACATCACCAGGGGAGAGAGGAGAGTAGTATTCAGATTGTGTAATTGTGGACGGGGGGGGAGGAGGAGGGGGGAGGGGAGGCGGGGAAAAGTACGGGGGGGGAGAGAGAGGGAGGGGAAGAGATGCGGGGAAGAGGGGCCGGAGGATGGGGGCAGCAGAAGAGCAAAGGAGCGCTCGGGCCATATCTGACATCCTACCACTGACACACGTCCCTTCCCATTGCGCTGAAACATGTTCTATCCACTTGCTGGGGAAATCTACATGATCTTGATCCCCAAAATGTCTCGATCGCGTGATGCACAATCAGAAAGGGGGGCTGTGTACGCTGGGCGGGGAAGAGGCGGCGGATGAGGAGAATGAGCAGGGGAAAAAGAAGGTTGATGAGGAAGGACGAGCAACAGAAGAATAAGCAGGACGAGCAGGAGGAGAGCGCAAATGGGAGCAAAGTGCCTATCCTGACGTGCAGCCACCGGTGCAGCGGGAGCCCAAGTTTAGAAC